GAAAAACTTTAATATAAATTTAACATAACAGCAAACGGACAACGTTTCGACAATACATTTTCTATTATGTTAAACTTATATTAAAGTTTTTCTTCATTACCCATTCAAGCCGTCTCCAGCCAGTAATAGTATTGTGTTCCACACTGTGAGAGCAATCATGTAGATCAGTGGCCATGAAAACTCCAAGAACAAACTTCACACTAGCCGGGGCCAACAACAGGACAGCTGTTAGTGTAGCAGGTCAGTGGTTTGCATTTTTATTAACAAAAAAAAAAATGCTCCTCACTTGTAGGCCATGGATGCATTATAAGAGTGACAATCAAATCCAACTATATGGTGAGATAAGAGTAGATGGTGAGTGGTGTTGACCTGCTGTTTTCTCTTTAGTCTGTCTGTTCAAAATTAGAGACAGCTGGCTTGTGATATTGCTCTTGTGTAACTTTATGCAAAATTAAAAAAAACAAAAAACATACAAACGAATAATGGTATGGATTGTGAAAAAAACACTTTCAACAACGAATCACTATTTACACACTTCTAACAGAAAATAGAAACATCAAAGAAGCAAGATAAAATTAAGTGATGATGTTTTTCCAACTTTACTGTCTAACTCACTTTGATATCAATACACCAGTTGTCACTATAGAGTGAAGATGACAGTTGACCAGGCTGGATGTATCTAAACAAAGACAATGTTGTTGTATCATAATCCATAGGTTAAAACAAAGGACCACCTAACATTATGGGATGTATAATAACATACAGTAATGTACATAATTTAGAACTTCCCAAAAATTAAAACTGACAACATTTGGATGTGTAATAAGAGGAACAACAGTATCGCTTGTAAATTATAACTCTTAAGTGTTTGTCTCATAATGTTTCGTTTGTATTTTCATTAAGCACAAAAGTATATTTTATTATATCTAGGAAACATATATATATATATATATATCAATGAGTGTGTGTGTGTGTGTGTGTGTTTTATAACAAAGCCACATTGGGCTATCTGCTTTGTCCACCAAGGGGATTCAAACCCCTGATTTTAGTGTTGTAAATCTGTAGACTTACGGCTGTTTCACCAGGAGACAAACATAAATGAAAGTGAAAAAAAACCATCATTATTTTTAATATTCAGTAATTATTTTGTACTTTGATTTTAGCACGTACTTCAAAGTTACTACTTATCATTGCATCACTTCAGTTTTCCTGTACACCTCTTTTGGTTGAAATCATTAAAACGTGCACTGTGTCAGTTGTCATAAAATAAAGATGAAGTCTGAGACGTGTCTCTAAAAAGTAAAAACGATAAATATATAATAATTAGATCACGTCAGACTTACTTCACAAATCCCGTGAGTAATGATTCATTATATTCATCTCTTCTTGTTCCCGTCTGTCACTCATGTTCTTCAACAATCGCTGAAGAAAAGTGTTGAATTCTTGTCTCACAAACTCAGCATTGTCTTCAATATTTGTCTGAACCCAAGAAACTCGAGTAAACAAGCTTGCTGATTTGAACACAAGAAACCGATCTAGTAAGTTTCCTGATGTTCAAGACATTAATAATAATAAAAAAATGGGATCTTTAAAGTTTACTTTTAATGACTTTATACTTGTCTCACAAACACTTTACCGAGTTATACAGATTCTTACGACGTGCTACTGAATGTCGTAATAACTTTTCTTTTGGAGCGATACAAGCTTCAGTTTTATACTGAAAGCAGATATTAATCATGTAATGAATTCTTTATAAATTTCAACCACAAAAAATCGGATAGTCAATCTGGAAAGAACCTGATAAATCCTAAGATTTATATACATGTTTTTGGTGACTATTAGCCTAATTAACTTAGTAATTTCTACATTCACATCTCCCAGATTTGTTTGTGTTGTGGATCAATTCTAGAAGACACAAGTTTAATAAAAAAACCAAACGTCAAGTCAAACTAAACGTGTTAGAGAGGCTCCTGTGTTTAGTTACTTGAAACTAGGGTAATTTTGTTGTTCACGAAGTACAGGTGTAACTCTTCCTAATAGCATGTGAAACAAATATCTTCAAGATGTATTGACAATTTCACGTTACATTTCTGTGTACCTATACTTAAAGTAGCACAAGTTGAGAGATACCTTTGTCAGCTAAAATACTCCCCAGAAATGTCATTGTAAATAAACATGATTAACTCCAAACATTATGCGATGGCTCTTTCCTTAAACATATTAACAAGCAAATAATTTCAACTTACACAGCTGGGAAGAATGGCCACGTGGTCTACCAGGTTGCTGACGACAAAACACAACACAATGGTTGTCTTTCAGACCCTGTCCTTGAACAAAATGTGAATACCTGAAATCAAAAAAATCTCTTCAGGCTGACAACAGAACAACTAGACTAATGTTCAACTCTGGAATCAACTTAATCTTTATAACTGACTAAAACCCAAGACCTACCATTCAACTTGGAAATCACCTTGGCTACCTATATAACATGTCTGGATTGTTAGTAGAAATAACAACAATACTCTACATCTTATCATCCATTACTTACAT